CTTATTTATTTCATTTTTTCATATAAAATTAATTGATTAATTTAATTAATTTTAATCAAATTAAATTTGATTAATTTGAAATAAAAATATATTGCTTTTATTAGGTAAATATTTATAATTATAATAATAAACTCTTTCATTTTTTATATATTGTGTAAAAATTTCTGTGACCTTTCATTAAAATGATGTATGAAATTGAATTAAATGTATATATTGTGATACAAGGAAATGAAAAAACAAAAAAAAAGTTGTTTTTGGTTTTAAAATACTTTCACACACTAAAATGAGAAAATGCATGTTATTTATTTACATTATAGGATGAATAGTCAGTAATTCTGTGATGAATTCAATTTATTTTCACCTACCTTAACTTAAAGATATTTGATAATCTGGATTTTCAATCATAGGCCCTTAATTATAAAATATAATTGAAGTTATAATGCATACTTTTTCGGTGGAAGCTTCAATCATTTCTCATTATAAAAAGTAAAAAATAAAATAAAAGTTATATAGCATGAATGAGAAAATAAAATAAGGTCAATAAATTATAAACTTGGGGAAAATTTATAATATCTAAATTTTGTGACAAGATTTATAATACAATGGATGTTTCGTATTTCGTTTTTTAAGATTTTTTTTTTGTCATTAAAGATAACCTCATCCTAAAAGTTATATACAATCTATTACACCAATAGTGTGTGAATACAACTAGTTTTCATTTTAAAGTCTTTCTGAAAATTGTCCTTACATGAAAAAAAAAATAAATAAAACAGTATCTGTAACAAATGCACCATTCTTTTAGAATATATTTTCCTACGTAATTATTTTATTTAAACAAATATATAAATAATATTAATTTTATAATGATAAGAATTTAAAATATATAGAAATGTTTGTTCTCATGGGTGGTACAAATGGTCTTTTATTAAATCCTAAATGTACTAAACCATTACCTTAAATGTTATCACCATTCATTATATATATACGGGTATCCAAGGTAGAAATGTCAGTAATTGAGGGAAAGATAAATTGCCAAAAATACAATTCAGCGCTGCCAACCACATCTTGTCTCAATCAATTGTCAAGATTTGATATTTTAAACAATTTTAGCAGAAAACCATGATTTTTTTTTTTCAATAAAATTTCTCAAATGTAACTGAATATTTCTTAAAATTTTCAGAATCTATGATGAATTTCCTATAATATGGCAACCAATTCATATGAACATATATCTTTCTCTGCCTTACATATCAGATAAAAAAAATTAAAATAAGTAAAAATGAATAATTTTCAAACATATTTGGTTGAATCTCAAGCAATGAATTTACAAGCTACGACTTCGACGAGTTGAAAAAAGTTGCTTTATTAAATAAAATATCTAAAAGGATACCTAATTTTGTGAAGCTAATCTAATTTCCACAATATATTGAAGTTGGGAGGTAAAAAAAACGTTAGATAACTACAACAAAACAAGTACCTACATACTATTTTTTTTCATGGTTTTGCAACTGCATTATTTGGAATGTTTTTTATTGTTCCTACACATTTTTGCAAGATTAAAAAATTAAGAGGGATAACTGATGGTCAAATTCTTGAAAACATCATATCAAGGCAAAAGAATTAATGAGTACATGTGTTGCTGTAGGTGTTTAATGTTAATTGACCTATCAACCTCGAAACAGACTAGTTTCACAAAGTTGGTGTACTGTTGAAAAGTTAATGGAATTAGATAAGATTTTTGAAATACCCAAAGTAACAGAATGAAAATTTGATGCAAGAGATTCTAACAAATATTTATGAAATTTTTTACTTAATTGCTTTGTCTTGGCCGTTATGGCAAAGATATATTTTCCTGTACATTGGTAACCATTTTGTAGGAAATTCACCGTATATACCAAAAATAGTTTAGTTTAGTATATTAGAAAAACTTAGATTTTTATAAGAGAACCCTTTAAAATATCATATCTCAGCAACAGTTTCAGATAAAAAGGTGCAGTTGGCGATGCCGAATTATATCTTTGATAGAATATCCCTCCCTCATTTACTCATATTTTCTCATGGAATATGATGTTTGTGTTTAAATGTATTAATGATATTTCTTTCATAGTCCATTGATGTATTTAACCATCATCATAATGACTAATTCAGTGAATTAATATTTTTTTCTTCAAGTTTAACCAATTTGATAGGATGTCAACAAATATTAAGGTAATGGTTCAATGCTCCAATGAACTGTTTCGGCAATGGGAGTTATAAACTTTTTAACTTTTAAATTCAAATTAAAAATATAATAGAAATGTTCTAATGGCGTAAATCATAATCAGCTATTTTTCAGTCTTTAATGGTAATATTTAAATAAAATAATAAAAAAAATACAATAAATAACACAATTTCCATTATTAACAAAAAAATAAAATAAGAAATAGTACAATTTATAATACACTAAGTCTAAAAAATTTTGTTTTCACTTATAGGAAATCATACCTTGAGATCAAAATAATCTAATAACATTTCAACTTTTCACGACTTTACAGATTTTTTTTTCTTTTTATTATGATAATTTATACCAAAAAATAAAATAAAATTACGAACATAAAAAATAATTACTGCTTATAGTTGATGCACTTTTTGAAAGTGCAATTTCCTATATGTGGTTCAATACATATATATATATATATATATATATATATATATATATATATATATATATATATATATATATATATATATATATATATATATGGATATTAATAAATGGCAAGAAAAGTCTATTATGAAATTAAAACAATAATAACTATACTCAAAAACAAATAATTAATACATACACTTTACAAAACAATTCCTAATAATTTCTAAAACGTTCATTTTGTACTCAAAATTAAATACTACACAGAATGCGATTGCACTTAACTCCTCACATATTTGTTAATAAATACTCTTATAAATAAAAACTTATTACAAAAGAGTGTCTAGCACACAATCTTAAGTGAAGACAGTTTAGAATGTGTTATATGGACCCAGCCATAAAAAGCCATCAGAGTGGTTAACTTATATAAAGCTTAAGACTCATACTGTTTTATAATTTTGAAAATATCAAACTCACAGACCTTTTGATTCTGACGATATAATCAGAATATACCACTTAAGGCTTCATCGAAAAGCATAAGTCGATTCCAAACTTGCTGTGGTACAGAGTGTCGAGAACGAAGAGATAGACATTTAACATTGAGCAACCATAAGCAGCATGAACAAATGAATTTCGATGTACGATACCAAATTTACTACCTCTCGTTCAAAATACCTTGAATTTAGGAATTGTTTTGTCAAATTACATTTAATAAATAAATGAATCAGATCAAAATTCCCTGAGGCCTAAAAAGGTATTTTGAATATCGTAACACTTTCTACTCACAGCATGTCTAGAACTGTCCTTAAATTAACATATCTCGATAACTTCTTCCGCAAATAAATCTATCACTTTCACTCATTTCTCCATAATCTCTCTGAAAATGAAATGGTGTAAGGATGTGTAAAAGCGTTAGAATTTTCATTCCTTATCTTATATATCATATATTAATGTCCATCGCTAAATCTTAAAAATGTAATAAAATGACACAATGAATAACAGCTTTAAATCTTGTGCACTTCGACTCACGTTGACGTACATACATGTCCATGTTTTGATTTTAGAAATGACTTCCTTCTCCACTAAACTGGAAAAGAAATGACTAAACAGGGCTAACAGAATAATACATCAGAAAGACAGTTTGTTGCGCTTAATATTTGAACTGAGCACAAACAAATTTCATTGATTCCGATTAGTAAAGAGACTTTTAAGATTTTTTTTTTAATATAATCAATTTCGATAGGTCACTACGAATGTCCTCAAAAGAATTTTGGAAAAAAGACGCATTAAGCTTTCATATTATCCTGGTATATTAATCACTATGATATAATTTCGATTCAAAGGTAATTTTATCCAGAGTGTTGTAATTTAATAGAATGTGCACTGTGCAAAAATGTACTATAATACATATGATATATTGGTAATACTGATTTATAAAAAGGTTATTTCATATAATAATTTGAAAAACTAAAAATTTACAAAAACAACAAATGGAACGTTCGCACATAAAAAAAAAGAAGAAAATACTATAATTTGGTCTGTAATCACTAAATATCTTACTAATAACCAATCTTAAAGTAATTGACAATCCAAGTTCTCAGTTCAATTACAAGCGGTAACAGAAACTCGAAATACTTAAAAATAAGTAAACTTAATATTATAGGTACTTATAAATTTATATGTAGGTATAAATACATGTACATATTCCAGTATTATATATTTATACTTAACGCATTCACAAAAATGTTCATCTTTGGAGTGCAAACTATGACTCGATATAGGTCCATCCATACGTTTGGTTCAAGCTCACACTAGTTGAGTGGAAACTTCTCACTTTGTGGCAGTAAACTTAAAGCCTAATACAAGACAATATTGGATTTTTGAAAATTTATTAAAACAATATTTCCACAAAAAGGAAACACTCGACTGTTTTTGATTACAATTTCAATTATCTGACGGTATTCATTGTTTCTTCAATTAATTAAGAAGGCACTTTCAAAACAGATTGTTAGAAGATTTTTTTTAGTGATTCTGAAGTCCATTATTTTGTTTTTAATGGTTCCAGTTAAACTTAATTAAAATGAAATAGACTTCAATAATTTGTAAAATTTATCATCAATAAATATTGCTAAATCTGATTGAATTAAATATAGGTGCTGAGAATTATTACCTATCAAAAATGACTTTCTAGACACAGAACATTTATCAATAAAAAAATAAAATACAATAAATACTTGGCACAAAGTGAAATTTTACCGAAATTTCACTCATGTATCACTTTAATATTAATTTAGAGCCCAATAGCACTGTTGGCTTTGTTTTAAAATAGAAACAAGTTTGAAAAAGTACAATTTGTTTTAAAAGTGGCACATGATCAGCAAGCACTCTCAAGCTCTGATCTCATTCTTCTTGCTTGCCTAGCTCTGAATGCATGGAACTCCTCTTTCATAGCTTGAACTCTTGCTTCGATATTGTCGTACTTTATCCTTAATGTTGGGGAGAGTTCTGGGGGTGTCGGCGTGATGGGATAAACATCAAACTCATAGTGATCATCAACACTAAGCCGCTGGCTAAGCTCTGAATGTGTTGGAGACGGGAAAGCAGAAGTGTACTGAAGCCAGAGAGGGGGTGGAGGAGGTGGAGGTTTGTACCTCCAATCTGAATGGCCCGAGCTGTTCTGTTGAGAAGTATTCTTTGACCCAAAACCACTGGAACTTGACCGACTCTCTGGTGACGTTTCAGTAAAGAGGTCTGGGGCGGAGCGAGCATGTCGAGGCAGGTATCGTCTTCTTCTCTGCTGTTCTTGAATCGCTCTTAATGATGGTAACTCCTGACTATATTGCTCGTGAACACTGCGCAATGAAGGCAGTTCTTGACTGTATTGTACACTTCTCAACCTAGCCTCGACATCTGGGAATAAAGGAGAAGACCCAGGTGAACACATTCTCGGAGAATATATAGTCTGAAGTGGAGGTGTAGAACTTAAACTGAGATCTGAAGGACAAACTAAAGGTCTTCTCCATGAGGCTACATTTCTGAAACCTGGTCGGGATAAGAAACCTCCATCATCTGAGCTCGAGCTGCTTCCCGCTGAATCTGCTAATACAAATCTGCCGTCACTATCCCTAGATATCTTCCCAACATGATGGCTTCCTTCAATGTAGAAATCTCCATCCCATTCTTGTTCCACCTTTTTTTGTTTTTTGCAACACCAGCATACCCAGTTTAAACCTGGTATTCCGCTTTTATTTCTGAAAATAAAATAAATAAATTTATTACAATAACTTACTAAATAACCATACAAATATGGGAATAACTTTGATTCAAGTAAACATGTTAGTTGTTATATAATATTTAAAGAACTAGTGTTACCATTTAATTTTATTAGAGGATCCAAAAGATTATTCTTAAAGGATTTATACTTTTTAAAAAATAACAGATTACTGCAGAGAAATGTCCAATTTCATAGTATGCTAATTAAATTATTTCTTGTCAGGTATTAATTTTTTTTTCATCTGATAGAATCTTAATCTTCATTATTTGGCCTAATAATAATAAACTCCAACTTTAAAGGGACAAATCTCATTGAATAATGTGATAATTTAGATAATATCATAAACAGGTTATAGTAGTCAGACAGTATTAAATGCATGGAATCCAAACTAATCATGTCATGAATAATCAAGAAATGTCTAAATGTTCTTGAAATGCAATAAAACTACCTAATATTTGAGACAGGAAGGAATCAAAGGCAATTAGATTATGGCGACTCTTCCAAAAGATTCAACAATATTACTAATTGGCCCACAGTCAAAACAAATAATTCCTTAACCAACTATTAAATGTTAAGAACTGATAATTAGTAGGCCTTAAAACCTGAAATAAAAGTCTAAGCTTCTATCTCGGCAATATATAATCTAAATGAATGAGTTAAGTTACTCATCTCCTAATGGGTCAATGCTTCTTAAAATGTCATCTTAAGCAGAAAATTTTGGAGAAAAAAAACTTATTGTAAGTGTCTATAATACTCAATGTTAAGTCTTCACTTTCCACAGATCTATATAAACTTCGAGATATTACAAGAGGTAATCCCCTAGATATGATCTGTTTTATCATAAGTCTTAACATTCTGCGGGACCACTCGATACTATTGCTGAAAGAGCCCCAAAAAAGGTCTCAGTTACAAACAGCTATCTAATCTTCAAATAACATAATAAGCGTAATAAAATATTTTTTAAAATATGAGATAATACATAATTATAAGAACTATTCTTGATTAAAATAACTCTGTATAAATAATACCTTAAGTTTGTGGTAAATAAGTTCTAAAATCAATATACCGTTTTGAAATTTGTTATTAGGGAATTTATGGGATACTTTAAGGTTTTAAATGAAATTTTAATAATTCATTAAACAATGGAAATAATAAAACAAGGTTTAAATATACAAAAAATGTAAACAGACAAAAATACTACTGAAAACACTTAAATCTGAAACAAATACTTAGGGAGTAGAACAAGGAAAAATAGAAAAATTAAATAGTAAAACAAGTAATGAAAAAATGTTTCTTTTTGATATAAACTCATGAATATTTTGGATAATCTAAAATCATTTCTTTTGTTGAAGTGTTAAATATTTTGATGAAAAAAAAATTATTAATCATAACACATATAGTCGAACATTAGTAAAAAATATATTAAAGGCAGCAATAAATTATATGAGGTTTTACAATACAATAAGAAACATAAAGAGAAAGAAGGAACATAAAAGTAAATTGTAAAAAATAAATCATAAGAAATTTCTGGCAATATAATTGCATGGTTCTTAAAATTTATGAATTAAATCAACTAAAGAAATAATGAATTGTAAATTATTTTAGACAGCTAAGATTTCTGGACTTAAGATGTTCGACTAAATTAGTATTTAATGCCTACCAAATTGTACAGTTTAATTGTACAGCAACAAAATTACAACTTGATTTCACCAAAAATAATTATTTGTACTATGATTTAAGGCATAATAGTTTTTATATCCTCTTAAATTTAGTTAATTAATAAATTCAAATAATGAACAAGTATAATTGAAGTTAGGTGTAAACATTTAACATTTCAAGCATGACCTAAAACCAAGGGTGCAATTACATTATAAGTTATTAGTTACAAGTTTTTAAAAAGAAAATTAGAGGGGATTATAGACTTTTAAATACACATGCTAGGCTGTTCCATTCATGCACTCACAAGTTAGGAGGACCGATAGCAGATAGTTTGATACTATTCTTGAAAATCAATAGGTATGATAGTAATATATGATAATAATATTAATCCAGTATTAAGCAAAATTGATTTTATAATCTGCGGTATTGTGTTTCCAAAAGTGAAAACTAGAAGATTAAAGGTAAGAAGAAGGATGCTTTAAAACACAAAATTATTCTTAAACTCCTGAAAAATATTCAAATTTACAGTGTATAAACAATGAACAAATAGAAAAGAGGCAATGTAGGAAGTTTGAATAAATAGAATTTTAAAAATTTGTCAGATAAGTCGGAAGTGAGTGAGAGATAAATTTTATATATGCCTATATGATTAACAATTTTACAAAAAATGTATATATATGCTAGAAAAATGTTGCATTATCAAAAATGATTTATATGCTTAGAGAAAAAATGATAACAACACTATGGTTAGGAAAAGTGGGTCATTTAGTTTTAGTCTTAGATAATTGGTGAGTCCTTATTTGAAATAACGAAATCATATAATTTCAGATTCATCATTATCTATATTCTTCTGTATAAGAAAATTTAAAAAAATGAAGATTTAAGATTTAACTAGCCATATCTTTAAGAATTTAATTAGATTCATTAAAGGCAATAAATTAAGAAAAATCCTGAAAAATGAAGATCCCAAAAATACATAATGAGGTTCATTCATTTATTAACAATAATTTTGAACTATCGATCCTCCCTATTTACCAGTTATTATTTTAATTGACATAATTCGTGATGGGATTCGAAGTAATATTCATTGAGATAAAATATATACAGTGAAATTATATCATTTTTAAAAATAAAATTACTTTCAACAAAAAAAAAAAAAAAAAGAAGAAAATTAGGATTTTTATAAAATACAAAAAAAAAAGTAGTTTTATGATTGAGAAGATTCATAAGAATATATATAATTTTTTAAGGAATATTAACAAATTTAATATATATAAATATAACAAAAAATGAAATTTTAAATCATTCGAAAAATCTGAACTCTGTTCATGCATTAATTGATTGTACCAGTTGTTTCAACAGACTGCTAACTCTTCACCTTTAGTCCTCCTGGTGTGGCCAGCAGATAAAATACAAAATTTCATAAAATTTAATGAAATGGTAAATGAAAATAAAAAAATTATTTGGGTGAAAAAAAAATACAACAACAAAACAAACAATACATGAATAGTGGAATAAGTGGAATGCATACTCCATTATGATCTTGCAGAGTTGTTGGTAAATGTTATTAGTAGGGTGAGAACAAAAAAATACACATTAAAGCGCATAAGCAACACAAACAGCAAGCATTATATGGTAAGGAATTACAAATGGCACAGAATCGTGGGATACAATAAAGTGTCTACATATATACAGTTGTTTTTTTGAAAGAGCCAGAACTTATAAACTTGATAGGTGCTTTAGATTCAATTAAATCTAAAACATAATATTTAAATGTATTTAAAATTACTGGCAGTACTGGAAATAATCTTTTTTTTTTAATTTCAATACTGACACTTTCAAAAAATATCCTTCACTGATGCATTCATTTCATATAAGTAATATCAAATTCCAATATTTTAAGTACTACTTTTTTTAAAATGAAATGTGCCATTACGGTAAGGGAAACAGTGAAAGCGATTAGCAAGCCTGAAGTGAAAGGGAGAAGAGATATGGAATATAGCTTACTGTGGTGTTCTAGGGCAACTCAAGGCTGTAATCCCGATAGGATCCAACAACCCTACAAGAAGTAAATAATTCTTTATCTGTACTAAATATTGTTTACACAAATATTATCATATCTATAAACCCAAATTATATTATCATACCCTTTATTATGTTTTATTATTCGGTGTCCAAAAATTTGAAAAAAATAAATTTACATTGTAGTGACTTTATTATTATTTTTATATTTTTAGTATATATAGACTTAGAGGCAAAACTAAATAAAAATGGTCATCCAATCGATACATGAGAAATGCTTTAATCTGTTAGTTAAAACGACTATCATTGGGACTTCTTGCCATGAATTGAGAAAAAAATAACTTTATGAGGACTAATTAAATGATTGAGGACTGTTCTTAATGAATGAATTAAAAAGTTTTAAGTTGTAATAAATTTAAGGGAAGGAAACATTGTTTATGTGAGTTGTTTTTTATTGTAAAATAATGTTGGATTATTAATGATTATTTTACTGAAAAAAAGAACAATTAATAAGGGATCAACAGTTTTTTTTTCTTCTCAGAAAAAAAACTTACTAAAGACAAAAATAATCTTAACATTTATATTATAATAAATAATATAATTTCTTGATTTTTATTCAATATTTTAGTTTAAAAAATACTTTAATCTTTATAAATATTATTTTTTAGCAAGCAGCATAATTCTATTGTGGATTTATTGTAAGTATAAACAAAAAAAATCAACTTGTTTGAGTTGGCTACATTGCTTTCTGAGAGCCAAAAATCTGTGCAGTGGTTTAAGTTATTAAGTGTTTGTGAATCTTTTCTATTATTTTGTAATAACTATAATGATTTAATGATAGATATCAAGTTAGTGAAATGTTTAAGTTTTTGAGTGTATAATATAACATAGGTCTTAGTTCTGATTAATATGTGAAATAGAGAATTCAAATATCAAGACATTTTCATCATCACCATGATTAAATCAAGGTAAATATTTTATAATATCATATAATTAACAATTTAAACATGTTTAATTCACTTTTATCTATTTCTTTTTTGTTCTTGTAACTGCTTTAATTGAGTAGCATAGAAATAAGCTTTGTAAGATAATTTCTGAAATTAAAAATTTAATAATTGATTAAATTAAGTTACATAAGTAAAAGAAATCACTAAGAAGTATCAGCATTAGTAAGGGAAACCGACAAAGCTAATCTAAAGAGTAAGTAAAAAGTTTACAAAACTATATTTTTAAATAATCAAGATTGTTAAATACAATAAAAGCAATTAAAAAGCTGAAGATACTAAATTGATCAAACCTAAATTGAAAACGAAATCAGAGTATAAAAATAACTGTTCTGAAATCAAGATCAATGATTTTCCTGTAATTAAAAAAAAAAATTCATTATTAATAACATCAATGGTTCCAATTTTGATTTACAGTGACTATATATATGTAAGTATTGTTATTCCATTGTTAACTGTAGTGTAATATTGAGCAAGGAGATTGTCTGGGGTGGCGGACCATCTCTTTCCTTAAGTATTGTCAGCACTCATTTTTATATTAAATTAAATCTATTTTAAAATTAGCACTCCAGTATTATATTAAAACTTGTATAAAAGTGGTCAAAATAAACAAAACTTGATATAATAAACATTAAAATATGAATTTCAATGATCAAAAATGTATGAAAACAGTTTTAAACTATTTATTTTCATTATTCTATTGTATATGAATCATAAAATCCTTGGATATGGAGGTGATGTAGCACACCTTGGAAGCAATCAAGAGGACATTGAGAAATCCAATAAGACAATAACAGAAGTAGAGCAAATCTGCCTACAAGTAAAAATGAAGATAAATCAAAATGTATGACCATAAACTGAAAATCCCACATGAAAGGATCGGATTAGAAAGGAAATTGTTCCCTAGAGTAGACAAATTCAAATAACTTGGCTCCACAATAACCTCAATAACTGACCAACGATAAAAAATAGACCAGCGTACAACATGCACAAACACAACTTTCTTTTCTCTTTCAAATGTATCGAAATCCTATAAAATCTCAAGAAATCTTGAATTAACAGTATACATTAAACCCAGTTTTCATGTATGCCTGCGAGATCTGGACACTAACTAGTGCCCTAGAAAGAAGTATTGATAGATTTGAGAGGAAAATCCTCTGCACGATAACTGGAGCGATCTAGGATCAGATTATCAACACATGAAGAAGAAAGAATAATAAAGAGCTGCTCATAGAAACTGGTCAATTAATATCAGATAATATGAAGACAAGGAGGTTAAGATCGAAGGGGCACTTAGCTCGGAACATTCGATCTGGAAGCCTCCAGATGGATAGATAGAATCAACAGATAGATGTAATAAAGCTGCATGCAGGTAACTGGAAAGAAATAGCCGAATATAGGCAGAGATGGAGCAGTCTTGTTATGGCGGCAAAAGATCTACAAGGTCTGTAATACCAACGTGAAAAAAAAATCTATTATCTATAAATATAAACTTCTATTGGTATTTTTATTGTTCATGATCAGAATATATTGTATAGCATTGATACCTCGTTGGAAACAAATTGTTGTTTGACCATTTGATGAATATCATTTAATTACATTTCGGAAAAAAATATAGTTATTCCAAATTAGTTTATCATCTAAGACTAAACTTATTTCAAGATAACGGATATCTTTTTTAGAATGTTGTCTATATTATTGAAACTAAGATCTAGATTTTTGAACATTGAAATGTGTTGTGTCATTGTTCCATCATTATATTAGATTGGAATGTTTCTTTTAAGTAAGATTGTATAATATTTATGAGAAACAATTTGGAAGTACAGGACATTCATCTTGAAAATATAATTCAATTAAAAAATCACTTTGGTAATTAAAATGTCCATTTATCATCGCCATCATGTTAAAGTAACGAATGTGCAACGTTAAACAGGCTCGATATAATATATCTATGAACATAATAACAATGTTTGTTTGTATTTCTATTGAAACTGAATTGATCAAGTTTTTATAACTATAGTATTATTTTTTTAAATAGATAGAGAAAATTAATAAAATACTTTTTATAGTCACTGTTCTGTTTTCGTAATTATTCAAGTCCATATTAGAAGAAGAATTGTAAGTGAACAATTTTAATTTTCCTGTTAGGATGATTTATGATACAAAACAGTTATTTTTATAAATTATAAAATATTCCCAGATAATATAAATATATATTTAAAAAAATTTTAAGTTCAACCAAGATATAAGTTTTAAAGAAATATGAAAATTTCATACACCAATAGTTATATTGAAATGAGACAGGATGAATTAGAGCAAAAAAAAGAAATAAACAGTAGGTGTTTAATCAATATTAATTTATTTAATTTGACAATAGTCATGAAGATGGTAAAAATTAATTGAAAAAATAGTTAATTTTTGTAGAGTCTCACTTTTTCAAAGGCACTTGGCTGACTGGAGCTGCTGAACTTCCGTTTCTTGCATCAGATAAACGACATGCAACCATATTATATTCTGCAATGATAAATAATTCCGTTACTCATAATTAAAATGTTTATATTCTATTATAAAATCTTGTTAATAGAGAAATAAACAAAATTTTATGGTGTGTCTAATAATTAACAAGATAATTATGAATTAAATAAAGATAAGGAACAAATACAATTATAAATCAAATAGATAACTGAGTAAATACCCATTGAAAATCAGAAAAATCATACCTTTTTCTTGTTTCCGGCGTTTTCTTTTATTGCAAATTTTTACAGCACATACAGAAAGTATAATGGCGACAATAAAAAAAAGTATCCCGCCCACAACACCAGCAGTGATGGCCTTATGTTTTACTCTCGCAGGAACTGAAAACTTTACAGTTTCAGAACTCTCGTAGCTTTTCACAGAGTATGCGAATACTCGGAAATAATATGTCCTACCACCAACCAAGTTTTTCACTAAAAACAAACATAAAATATTCATAAAATAATATTCAAAAGAAATACATTTATTTTGGAAACCATGACATAAGTATAGGGAACTTATATTAATTAGGAGAAGAAATATTTTACTTTCACTTATCGATAAAAGAAATATATAATACACTGAAGTATTGTGATCATAAAAAATGTTCAATCTATTTTAACAACAAAAATAAGCGTTTCCATGGTTCCTGAGTCAAAATAACCAAATATCACAAAAAATTATATATATAAGGTTGGCCTGGGATCTTAGAGCAACTTTTTTATCAAAATTCATCCGGAAATGATACCTCATACCATGGATTTTACAAATTTTTATAATTTTCTAAAAATGGCTCTAAAGATTTTGATTAAACTTGTCTCAAGGATATTATTTAAGTTATAAATACAAACTTCATTGAAAGGAGTTCTTAACATTTAGAGTTTTTTTAAATGATATTTTTCTTTGGATTCCTCATTTTTAGATGTTTACCGGGTTTATAAAGATCTATAAAGATATGGAATTCATCCATAGATTAGGGGTGTCTAGCAGGGCACCAAGCACTAGTTGCACCATTAATATTTTTTGAGGTGCATATTTTGAATTTTGGAGGGAGCACATTTCAACAATGTTATATATTTTTGGAATGAAAATTTCAAACCAAATGGAAAATATGAAACACACCACAGGCAGGTATTTGTATATGATCTACAATTTTTTAAAATTCTACTTTCACTTGCACTGTTTTTATGAAGAAGTGAATAATAAAATATCTTGGGATGGGAAGAGGATGATAAATTGATCTTGGTGATGATGGGTACCGAAGATGGCTTTAACTGTTATCATATAAAAAAAAACTGTAGAGGTATGAATTAAAAACTAAATATGATTTGAGGAATTCAACACTACCTAAATAAGATGTATCCTCTGGCCTAATCTGGCCTTTGCTGACTGATTTCCAAGGTCCGTCGGTTTTGTATTGAATGGAATAGTGGTTGATTAAGTTGGCTCTTTCTATTGGTGGCTGCCAAGTGATGACGAAACCGTTACTTATTTCTGTAACTGTGACATTTCTCGGTGGCCCTGGGCGTGGACCTTGAAAATAACAATTAACAATTACTTAAAAATTTATAAAAATAAAAATCTTTATAAATATAGAAAACTATGTTCCATAAAATAAATTAGATAAATATTTAAATAAAATAAAATTATAATTTAAAATAAGTGAATTGAAGACTATTAGTAAAATTATCTAAATTAATATTTTATGATTATATTTATACAAAATAGTAGTTATAATTTTATATTCATTGAGCCTCCTTTGCATAGTCAGTACTGTTGTAAGAAATATCCTCCCTAGATTGTTACAAAAATCCTTCTACATGAACACAACCCTTAATTCCAACATTTTTAATTAATCTCCTAAGAATGTTTTGTTCCTACTATTTATGTCAATGTTTATTTTGACAAGTCCTGTAATTCCTTGTGACACGAGTTGGCTTTATAGGGTCATTTACATTTTTAAAATGCTGAGGCAGTGTCCTGGTCTTTTGAGTCATTACTGGAAAGAAGGTCAAAGCTCAAAGACACCCGACATTTTTACTCATTCTGCGTATAGTCCAGATATTGCACCATCAGATTACGATTTGTTTGGATTTTTGTATGAATAGATTTTAGAGTTAGCTTAATTTGGAGCTTTAATCATTATAAGGACATAAAAATTGGATGTGAATACCTAGTTCTGCCATAAATACAGTTACAAAAGTAGGCTTTCCAAATTAGGGTGTGCTCTGTGGCATGTCATCCTCTCCAGTTCGGACCAAAGCAGATAATCTAGTGGGTTCAGATCAGGGCTTCCTGAGTGCCAATCCGAGGCAGAGATGAACTCTGGAAAGTTCTTTTGCAGCCCTTCTGAGTTGACCTGGCCTTGTGAGTTGGAATCCTCTCGGAAAATACAATAACTTCCAGCAAACAGAGTATCATAGCGGCTGTTTTAACTCTTTTTTCACAAAAATGGAGCTTTGTGGTGCCATCAAAACAAACTCCCCACCAAACCATCACTGAAGAAGGGTGATGACCTCTTTCCAATCTTCCAATGACTTCCTGGACTTCTGTGTGCGTACCCACAATCATTTTGGCGATTAAATTTTTCCTCAATTGTAAAAATTTTCTCATCGCTAAACAAAATCTTTTTATGAAGATCATTGGTGTAGCGGCCAAGGAGCACTTTGCATCTATCCACTCTAATTCTTTTTAGGGAAGTGCTTAGCCTTTGTTGTGTCATTCTTCGAAATGCACCCATCCTAAACTCACTTTTTATTATGCGAGACATTGATCTGATAGAGATTCCCAGTACTTCTTTGCCCCAAAACCAAAGGAATGGTACTAGCAGAAGTGATTGAAAACTTTGTAAAAAGTTTTTTGTTGAAAAGTAGTTGAATGGACTTTACTTTGAAGAGTAGTATTCAATAATATTTAAAATATGTTTTATGAAATAAAGCTATAATTATGTACAAGGAATTTTGTGACAACCTAGCATTTATAATGATGCTATTCTACATTAACTCAGTGACTATGCAAGGGGGGTTTGCGTTAATATTTGATCTAAACTTCATTACACATATTTTAATAATAATATCAGTTATTTACTTTTTTTGTTTCTAATTTTATTAATTCAAGATAATGATTAGAAAAACATATATTTCCAATAATAAGTTAAATACTCAATTGTATTGGGCTTAACATAATTTCATAGTATTTTCAAGGAATTATTTTCTTTAAACAGTAAATGAACAAATATAAAGTGAAACATCTTAGACCCATCTATTTTTATTTAAGTGATGAACAATATATTGTCAGTTTATTAGAAAAAGGCACATTTTTTTTTATGGAGCTGAACTTTTAAGAACGTTTTTGGGAATTTCTTTCTTATTTATTTGATTAAAAAAAACAAAAAAAAACTGTAAGCGCACAACAATTACTCACACCCTTTTACATATCAAACATTATAACAAGTGTATAATTTTCTGATTTTATGAGAGAAAAAGTCATCAAAATTCTTTGTAATGAAATGCCACTTAATTACTTTTTGTAATAAACCAATAAAATTATACATGAACACTTTAACTAACTGTGCTTAAGAACATGTCAAATTGTTGCTCCAAATGAACAAAAAAACAAAACATAAAATCTCTTTACTTTAAAAAGACTATGAATTTACATTACAACCCCATACATGTTATTTATTTTAAAAGCATATAATTAAAATATTGTATATTATACAACTTTTATGATACATAAATAAAAATAAAACAAAAATATTAAATTAAAAACTGATTGCTAATGAGTTTCATGCAAAAAAAGTTATAGCTGAATTTAAAAGGTATAACTTGGCCATTTATAAAAACCATTCCCATTCCTCTCTCTTACACAGCTCGTCCTTTATTAACTGGCCAAGGTATACTTGATGTAACATGTAATGGGGCAAGCTATAAATAATGACTTATTTTGATTTTCAAATCCAAATTAGGTTGACATCACTTTAAACCCTGGACTATTCTAAATTTAATTTGCTGAACCTTTTGCTTTGTCCTGCAATTTTTGTAATGTTCTGCCATTATTAGAGACTATTAAAAATAATTTAAAAGTTACCCAATGTTTAAAATATCCCATTTGGTGATAGAATTAAAATAAAATGTTTCTTATGAACAGACTGTAAGTGGATGGCTCCAAATATTTGAAACTGCTGAGATTTGTCTTGAGTGGAATGCTCTTTCTGGATGAAAATCAATATGTAGTTTAGAAACCTCAGAGCTTCTTTATCCACTATAAATCATGAGTTGACTCATGTCTCCATGAGTTGACCATTAAAAAGACATTGTTACTTGGGATGAAAAGAAAATTTATTGAAGAAACCATATGACAAACAAGCAATAGTTAGACTGTGATCAGAATTTAGTGACAGTTAATAAGCAAGACTATTTTGAAAAAAAGATAATGTTCGTTTTCTGTATTTTGGAATTCTGAAGGTACAACTCCCACTTTTTTTTTTGTCTACCCTTCCTCGTCTTTTAGGCCATACGGGGGTTATCCGAGCCAAGGGATGATGGGAGATTAATACCGGAGTTATATTTTTCCCCGCCACAAAGACGTGAACTCGTAATTATTTTTTCCTTTAAAATTCAATTATCAGGTTGCCGGGCAACGCGCGGTGCAGTGCATACGCATTAGCCTCCTTGGCCATTCATACCAGAAGATCCAATTTTCATTCAAAACTTTTAGTTATCATTCATAAAGAATGGATGATGTGACATAGTGTTACCTAGCATAAGTAAACAGGAACCTGATTTTTTTTCTCCAGAAATATCCATATTTAATAATACAAAAGCTGATTTGAAGAGGGCTGATCTTTGATACAAATACTTCATTACTCCAACTTGTTCACATAAATTCAGGAATCCCCTACTAATGTTTGTTCTAAAACTTCCCAATTTCCATATCTTTCCATTAAACTGCTCTCAATGGATTTGAAGAATTCTTTATTAATTGCGTTACATTCTTCTATAATTCTATCGTCTTCCTGATTCCTCCCTTTCTATTTTTTAAATCTAAAATCCATTTCAACAAATCCTTTCTTTTTTTGATTCTATGAATATATTTGTATATTACAGTATATTCTAAATATTAAATAAATATTTTATTATATTAAATAAATGTTAAATTTGTAAATATTATTAAACAATATTTTAATTGTTTATCATTTTCAGGTTAACTGCTCTAAATTTAAAGTACATATTTATTTATTCATTCCCATCTTCTCCTGTCTCTTAGTAATATGGATTTTTGGTTGAAGTATCGTGCTACTTCCATCACTTGCTCTCTTAATTCTTCTAATTCATTGGAAGATGTTGAAATGGTCAATTTCAATAATTCCTTCCACCTCAACATGCTTCACAGTTCAGAAAAGTTTCATAGTACGGGTAGTTATCCTTGCTTACTAACTGAGGAAAGTTGTCCTCTGTGATGATGTAGAGTCCAGTTTCCTTCAGTAGTTTGGCTCTTATTGTTTCAAAAGTGCAATTTTTCCTATTGCCTTGCTATTATACATCAAAGAGTTGTGCCGTAGTGCCAGAGTAAATATTAAAAGTAGATATAAATCTATGTTTATTAATAATCAGTATTTTATAACCATTTGACTAGATTATATAAGAAAATTAATTAATAATAAAATAAGAGAAGCCTTCATAGAATATTTGTGTCAAATGCAATGAATGGTTTATATTCTTGGGTTGTCATACTGTATTCATATCTTTTAAGTTAGTTAAAATAAAGAATATTTCTATAGGCAGATAAAATATATCAGCATAAAACATTTTAAAAAAATAATAAGGCTAGATAATGCTAATGAAAAGAAAATATGATAATAGTCAATTCTCTTTTAAAAAAATACATGATTTTAGATAATAATCAGCAGGAACAAAATAAATGTAAAATAAAAAAATTGTCATGACAAAGTAACAAACAAATGCCAAAATTAAAGATAATATTAGCATGCAGTAAAAAATATTTTTTAAAATAAAAATTATATTTGACATCCCTCTTAAAAAACTTGGCCTCATAAATTGATTGGGACTCGGGGATAAGAAAACATATAAACAATCACACTATAACTAGGTTATAAGCAAAGTTTACAATTTTTATCCCTGTTATAAAAAAATTAGTTTTCACCAAATAAGCTTATGCATAAAAATATAAGCCATTCTTTTCTGTAACCATAAACTTATCTATGAACAGACAATGAAATGTCTTTTCTGAAATTGATGATCCAAGATGACCTGAACAACAATAACTTTGGAGACAGCCATCTTAAGAATAAAAGGAGAAAATGTTATGAATTTATTCGTACTTCATATTCCTGAGGGTGTGATTATAGGATAGTGGCCAAGCCAATTGGGGAGAGGGTCCCAGAGTGCTCTGGTTCTAAATGTTGTGGATTCGATTCCCACTTGGCTCAGTTAATATTTATTTCTTGACAGCCCTGAGATATGACTTAACACTCTCACTCCGGCTAGTACACAAAGTCAACCTCTAGAAATGTCTGAGGTTGGGCATAAAGAACCGCAATGCCCACTTATTGGACCCTCCCACCAATAATAGTACCAGAATCCTATATTAATGAACATGCAAGGAATTGATTGATTCCTTACAAATTTAATAACAGATTTTTTTTTCTCTTCCATTCCTCGCCTTTTAGGCTATAAGGGTTTTTTACTGGACTAGAGGTGAGGACGAAGGATAAACACCAAAGTTAAAGCCCCTCTGGTGTTGGAATATGAACTCATAAACTTCGGTTTGTCACAGGTTGCTTCGGGCAACGCATATTTTGCACACGCCTTAGCCTGCTCAGGAACCTCATTCACTTAATAACAGTTTAAGACATGACTGCTACACATTTTATTTAATTAGTTACTCAGTTTATATTGTATGGCTGAGTATACTCTATTAAAAAAATAATCCATCAGAAACATAATCCTTCAACCATTCTGGAATTTCTCCTTTTTTTTCATAGTTCATAGTTATGTTTATGACTTATTATTTATTGTTTGTGATGTTTTCCGAATAAATTAACTCAATTTATTCTCTACAATTTTTAAAAACTCACATATACAGAAAAAAAACTTCTTTAATATGGAAAGTGACTACCAATATCTCCTTTAAAAATCATATAAGTCTAGAAATTAAACGAACATTTTTTTTACTTAAAATCTATATTCAGTTTTGGCCAATAGATTTAATAAAGTATCGTACCTTTTGGCCTAAATATTGGAGGAAACAAGGTTGAGCCTGTGGCATCAGTTGGAAACATTACAATTTGATCATACACATCTGAAAATGTAGAATTACATGCGAACTCATTTAACAAAAGTAATGAAATTATATATGAATTAAAAAGTAAAATAAAATAAAAACTACCATGCTTCTTAAAATAACAAGCAAAAAATTAAATATTAGTATGAAATAAAATAAAAGTTTTAAAATGAATTAAATAAAAAGTTACATCATGGATATTTGAGGTGTCAATGATAAGAGCCATTAACCTAGAGTTTCAAAATAAATACAAGCAAAGAGCTAATAAAGGTTAGTTATGTATATCTAAGCATGCTGAGAATAATGCTTTATAGTTATTGAACATGCGCAAAAATGTATAAGCATTTGAGAAGTCGCTTACCATCAGGAGGTGTGGTCCCATCCTTTTCAGTCGAGGGAATCGCGGTTCCATCTACCCAGCCAACACACTCAATTACCAACACGCTCGCACACAATAATGACAATAGGGTGAAAAATGAACTAATAGGAACATTATTACTATTACTCTATACAAAAAAAGTATACATTACATATAATTTAATATGGTAAGTGAGTTGACTTTGACTGAATGGCTACAAACTTTGAAAAATTATAATCATGACATTATTACAACCAAACATTTTTAGATGAAAATAACATATTTTATTCCAGAGATTGGAGGGATTTTATTTATTTATTTTTTTCATTATCAATGAAAAAATATCAGTTCTAAAAATAAGGAATCAATACATTCTAATATATAAACCTAATAGTTTGTTTGTTTAAATGGGCTAATTTAATTTTAACGACAAATTACCTGAGAAATTCTTTAGGTTTTATAACATCATACTATGACTCACTTGAACGGAACAATAACTATAAATGTCAATCAGTCTGGAAAACTTCAAGCAATTTGCAGACACTATAAATAAATAAATATATTGGAGTTGTCTTAAGAAAAGACCTTCTTTCTCATGGACAACTATATATTTCCTTATCTAGATCGGGTAGCAGAGAAAACTTTGTATGTACTCATACGTAAGTTTTTCTTAAACAGTTTAAAATATATTGTGATCATAAAACATTTAGTGTAAAACCATAATTAAAGATGCTTTCTGTCCAGCTAGGTTTTTTTTTTGTGATTAGATTTGACTTGTCATATGACTGAGATATATGTTCTCAATTTAATATGGGTGTAACTGTGGAGCAAAGCTTAAACCTAACTAATAAAATAAGCATATTTGAATAATTAATAAATAATTTCATGTTTATCTTAAGAACACTTTTGAGATATTATATCAATACAATGACAATGGTAGATAACTTTAAAATGGAAATAGCTAAAACTATTGAGTGTCCCAAAAATAATTTCAAATTTTTGGAATTCCTTTGTGCCATTCTCAGAATTTGGGAAAGTATACCAAAGAACTGGAGTCATAAAGAACTTTCCGTTCTGATTCTTCTGTCCCCAAAAAAAGTCTCAGGAGTTTATATTGTTATAAAAATTATGAGTAGTGATTCAAATAATCAACATAATTATTGTAAAACGAATAATAAAATACTATATATTTAAAAATAAATTTATATTTATGTTTATATATATATTTTTTTTTTGTATAGGGTGGGTGTATTTGAAAATATGTTAATGTTGCTACATATAACCATCTATGAATATAAACTAAAGTTTCAATAACAGGAACGTGGGCTGTTGTAAAATACTTGTGTACCTGCTTTTCTCTAGCCTGGTTAGTTAATTGATTCTAGATTACAAATTTTATTCATTCATGTTGATTAATTGTTATTAATTTTATTGTATTTTTTAAAATTGTTGTTGTTCAAAACATTGAGAGGGGGGAGTGAAACGATATTCTTGCCCCCTCTGGTTTTATTGGGAGGGGAGGGAGAGAGCGTGATCGCCCCTTTTTGTTGATGAGCAAACACTTATAAGATAACTGTTTTTAACAATCTCACATAACCTTCATCTTATCTAAGAATACAATAATGCTTAAATATGTTTATAAGTATAAAATTTGACTATTAATAATTTAGGTTATATTTAATATAATAGTGGGTAATCATATTTTAATGGCAATTAAAATCGTCATTCACTATTTCTCATTTGCTAAGCTTTGGATAATATTCATGCAATCAAACTTATTCCAAATTGAATAAATAAATATTTCTCACATACTTTCATAATCGAAGATGCATAAATACATAAGATGCATGTATACATACACGTTTAAGCAGTAAGCTGCGTATGCTAATATATGAGGAACTTGATTCCCATCTAGTAAAAATCATATAACCAATTCTTTCACTATTGTCTCTAAATAATATGTGTTCGTAAAAAGCACATTTGCATCAAAACATTAAAAAAATTACTATTTTTTGATTATTGTTAAATCAAGCAAATTATTTGTGATTAAAAACTGAAACTTTGACTGATCATATTTTAGGCCAAATTATATTTAAAAAATTGCTTACCAATATTCAAACAGACATCGAGTATCACAGATGAACAATATTTTTGCAGTATTAACAAAAAATATGAGGTCTATACATCACCGTTAGAAAAATAAACAACATATTATAAATAACAAAATAGTCATTTAACCTTATGTTTATCTGACTTCATTCTTTTGAACTCATTGCTGATACGATAATAATTTTTACTGTATAAATAGTAACTGCTATTCTGAGAAAGTAATAAATTATTTATTTATCTTCAATTACAATGCGGTTCGGTTTAGGTGTAGTATAAAAAATTAACAGATAGAAAACTTTGAGAGATGATTTTTTATATATTATTAGCTGTATAGCTTTCTTTTTATCAGAATAGAATTTATTTTAATAAATTTGAGTATAATAAAATATTTTTGTCATCCTTTGTCGTTTATTTTGGCCACAATTATAATGCCTTCTTTATTGTAAGAAGCTCAGCAAGCCCACATTTTGAGCAGAATTTTCATTTTTAGTTAGTCAAAACTAGACAATTTTTCTGAAAAGTTGTTATTGTCTTCAAATTTAAATTAGATCCTTGCCAAAGGTAAAAAATTGGACTTTGAAATTTATCAAATTTACCAGACTTATGTGCTATATATGACTTGGAAAATATTCTAAAACTCTAAGTATTTTCAACATATAAAATGTGAGAGAGAAATTTATTTTTTAACAAACTCAAAGATTTCATAGCGAAACTATTAAAAAATTGTTTGAAGTGAAGAGGTGTCGATGAAAGACAATGGAGTATATTGTCAATGAATTGTTACAATCATTCAATAATATTTTAATTTATACCAGTTTTATCAATTTAATGCTGACAAAAAGCTGATATTAACCAGATTTATTTTTTTTTGTGATTGAAAAATATTTTATTCTCCTAGGAAGAGTTTCAAGTTTTAAACTTAAAGCTCACTATCGGAGACCTTAATATTTTACAGTAACAAAAATATTTATTTTTTAAATACGTTTTCATAATGACAACTTTAACATTGTCCATGGTTAGGGAGTCAAAGGACTTGATAGAATTTGATATGAGACACTCTAAGTAATAATCAGTACACAAGGGTCTATTACAACTTTTTTTTTAAATTAAAATTTTTAAGTTGATGAACAGTTTTAACTACCATATTTACAAAAAAAATAAAATTTATTACAAATTAAAATATATATATCTTCCTCAATAAGTTGTAAGTTTAAACTTTTTGGTCTAACCTTAGACCAAAAAGTGTCCTTTAGTGAGCCACAATTATTTTAAAATTAAAAAAAAAGAATTTAGTGATAATGTGATCATATTATTAATTTTTTTAAAATATGTAGCTAGTTAGGTTGATTAATAGAAAAACTATGCCAATAACATATTTTCATTTATTCTTTCATCAAGTGAAACATAAAAATTTTAATAAAAATAAGCCTTTATTAAGTTACAAAATTATTATAATATAAAATAAAAATATTCCTATTAGTAATAAAAGAGAGGCACCCTATTGCCGTAAGAGATGTTTGAAGAAGTGCAAAAAAATATTTGTCATATAGAGTATTACAGTGCTCCCAACCAATGTGCATATGTTAAGGAGTATGTTATTTACAGATAAAGCGTAATAAGAAATATTAAAGAGATTTTTTTGTACAACTTTAAAATGATGCATCATGTCCTTTTAGTAAAAGAAAATGTGCAAATTCTCAGTTGTGATAGCTTTAGCGAAATCTGCCACTGCAATAAGTACATTATCAAACCGAAAGACCTTAAAAATGCTTTACTTTCACCTCAAATATCATTTGTTATTATGAAATTTAAGGATTATTACTAATATTACAGAAAGATCCATGCTGTTATAAGCACATGGGTTTTTTGCTCAGAGCACAGTTTTATATATTAAAAAAAAAATACAAAATTAGAAACAAGAAAACATTATCTGATGAGTAACATTCTAATTTTAATTTAGAAAATATCAAATCAAATATAAAAATATTTTTTCTTGTTTCTACTTTTGAAATATACAAAATTAAAAATATTATGAGATATCCCCATAATATAATTTTCCAATTTTAATTCAAGTAGAATATCATTATATGAACTTGCCAGGAAATTGTTATGATAAAGAAAAAATATGTATAATGAATAATTAAAAAGAAATAATGAACAGTAAAATATCTGAATTGCGTGTCTAACAAAAGTTTGATTTTATAAAAAGAGGCCAAAAAATAGTACATAATCTTATAACTAACTCCTGTTAAATTTAATTAAATAATGTTTGTTGTAATTCAACCATCAGATCTGTGCTCCGGACGTAAAGGACACCAAGTCCATCTTTTTATTAAATAATTTAATAACTAAGAAATAAATTTTAATAGCTCGAAGTTATGTATGGGAAACTGGTTCCCTGAACAAATAAAAAATGTGACAGGATATCCTTAACATCCCATCCGGAGTACAGATTTAGTAACTAAGAAAAAAATTTAACTTGCTCAAATTTATGTTGTATTTCGTGTTGTAAATCGTATTGGCTCCCCTAAACAAATACAAAAATGGATACTGTGTTCTTTATCTCCGGGGTACAGAAATACACTGAAGCAAAATAGTCACTCTTCATAATTTTTTATATTTCTCGACAGACTAATTATATAATTATCTTCTATAAATTCTATTATAATTAATATATACCTAGTGTTTTATATTATATAATAAGTAAATAACTTATCTGAAACTATCATTATTCCTGATTAGTTCATATAACCAATGTCTACATTGAAACAATATCTGTATTAATCTTCATTTCATATATGCAATAAAAATTTACTGTATGAGGTATTTTTATTATCCTACTTCTTGAAAATATTAAAAATTCCTTGAGCCAGTGTGGGAAAGACTATTTCTTAAGATAATTCTCATACTACAGACCCATATCGATTCCCACAGAAATTCATGGCTCTTTTCTCCAGTAAGATAGTAAAAATTAGAAAGAAAAAAAAAAGTAAAATATCTTCCAAATGTAGCATTTTTACTGAAAATTTCAGCTATAATAGATAAACTAATAGATTTTCAGTACAGAGCTATCCCACAAAAAAAAAAAAAAAAAACATGGTTCTCATATTTAAATTTATAAGTTTTATATCAATTTATTAAAAATGTATATCTAAGTAAACACCTCATACAGAAAATTGTTATATAATTGATTAATACATAAAATTAATTTTGAAAAAATATTCACAAAAGTGTAATATAGAAAATTTGGAGATTGTATTAATGACTCACCAAGAGTTCGGACGGTGACAATTTTACTGAGCATTCCATCGCCTATGATATTCTTACCAATTACTTGAAATTCATACGTGGTCCCTGGCGTTAGGCGATTTATGGTGACCTGAGTGCTTCCTGGAGGGGTGACAGGTATAGTTAACCAATCGTTAACACCGGCTTCTCTATACCTGAATAAAACATTCCTAGTTTTATAAAGATTTTATCTTATTCATATAGGATAATGTGGGGTAAATGGGCATTCATCCTATATAAGCTGCCCTTTAGGGAGCATGAACTATAAAAATCAAATGATATTAATTCAAGCAATAGGCAGGTTATTTTTTTTTAGAAACATTGATTTATGATAATAAGCTATAGCCTTAAATTGGTATTGATGTCATGGGACAAGAGAATTTTGTTATGGCTATCTCTCTATAGAAATATCCCATTCCATGTAAATGTTGCTTAAAAAAAAAAAAAAAATACTCTACAGAAATAAGGTTTTCTATCTCAAGTTTCAAAATGCTTCTATGTTCCATCTCAAAGCAGCTTTCATTACCAACTGGACGTCTATACCAATTTAAGGTAATAGCTTATTATTATAAATTAATGTTTCTAAAAAAAAAAAGTACCAGTTGCTTGAATTATTTTCATGAAAACATAAATAATAGGAAGATTTTGTTGATAACTTAATTTGACGATAAAATAAATATATTAAAAAAAATATGTAATTATGTTTATTATAATACATCGCAGCAAACAACTAAATATATGCGAGCCAGTAGTGGTGGAGATCATGTTGCATTCCTGGACATCGAGTCCTATAAGTTTCAGAGAATGGGGACTTTAGTATACCCGAGACTCAAAGTGAACACCCAAAACAATCTCAACAGATGAATCAATGTTAGTAATAGATGCTTCCATAAGCAGCCCCCAGCATTTTAAGAGCAAAAATCTTTCTTCCAATTCAAAAATTAATCTCTACAAGCCCTGGTATACCCAGTACTCACCTACGGATCAGAGGCATGGACAACCATCAAGGCAGATGAAAACAGATTACTGATATTCGTGTGACAGGTGCTATGGAGAATCTTCAGAGCTATAAGAGAGGGAGAGATCTGGAGAAAGAGAAAGAGCAGAGGGCTCTATAATGTGTTTAGAGGTGACAATATTGTGAAAATTATAAACCTGGGAGGACTTCCTTGGGCCAGTCATGTGACTTGGATGGGTGACTCTGAGATCTGAAGAAAGGTAATGATGGAAGAATAGCACCGAGCAAGGAGAATAGGGCGGCCCAGGAGAAGATGGCTCGATGGTATGGAATTGGACCAACTTGCTGAACACCAGGTATTGGACTGCTGCAGAACAAGACAGAGCCATCTGGCAGAGGCTACTTGAGGAAGCCTAGACTCGCTTGCGGGTTGTTGCGCCTTGTATTCGTATATAATGCATCCCAGGTGATGAAATAATAATAAATCAAAGCTTTACAATAATTCTATAGTTATTTGTCTAGGCTAATTATTTTTTTACTTATCGCACCGCTTTCTGTTTTTTAATTCTTTAGCAAAATCAGACCATGGTATATGTAAAAAATATTTGTATCTTTAAGATCACAATAACTTCTTTAAATATTTCCCTTTTCTTATGAGACACCCTGTATACCAAACTACTCTACATTAATTTAATTAATTAGTTGAAAAAATCTAATAAAAATTGGTAAGATAATCAAAAAGTTTGAAAGTTTTAATACTACTAGTACTAATATAATTTATTAACTAATATAATGTATATAAGAAATAAAATCTTTACCATATAGTGTACACCTGGTTGTAGTCAGGCCCACCACTGTAGCCAGGTAGCCATTGCAAAGATACAGCGAATTCACTGGCGTTGGCAGTCACATTGTAAGGGGCGTGAGGCTGAGTGCCTTCGACAACTAGCTGAGTACTGGTAACGATGGTAGCCACTTCGTTACTCGCGACGCACTGATAGTAACCGAAATCGGTCCTCCTCAGGCTCTCGATTGTGATGTTTCCTCCGGTCACTCTCACTCGACTTTTTTGAAGTGGTTGGTTGTCTCTCTGTTTATTATAAATGTAATTTTAATTTTTATTATAAAATCTTTCATACCCACAGTTATATAATTCAGTTGTATATCATACCCTCTGCCACTGGATGGTTGGTTTTTGAGTTCCTTCAGCTTCTTGAGCATCACAGTGCATTTCAACAGTTTCTCCAACCTAAAAATATTTTTAAAAATGAGCTCATTTTGTTTCAAAATTAATTATAATAAATAAAAACATACTATGGAGAGCGCTGGAGTGTTTCTTTACTTAGACTTCCAGGTGAACTATAACAATGATATAAAGCGGAGATTTTTGACAGTTACTGAATGCTACTTTGGGCTACAAAGATAAGCATTAATAAGACTCTGATCCGACCCTGACTAACCTACGACTCAGATTGTTGAACACTAACAAAAGTACAAGAATTCCTTCTCTTTTGATTTGAATGATATATCTCGCGAAAGACATTATAAACATTAAGACGTTGCTCATGCCTTAATGTAGTGACCACATTTCATATCCTTAAAGCATCATAGAAAGAATAATGGTTATATAAATCATAATTTTGGAGTCTCAGGACAACAGCTGTGAGCTAAGTAGTTTCACAACTGAAAAATAGCAAGCATTTTCCACCTTTAAAGTAGCCTTAACTTCCACTTCAATTTCATTTCTTCTTTTTATCGTAGATTCTGAATATTTAAAGTTCCCAACGTATTTACTTCAATATCTATAATACCAAAATTATTGCCATTTTTGCTGCTGACCATATATTTTGTCTTTGTATTTATTTCAAGTCCCAGTTCTTTACTGGCTTTCATTAATGTTGTATTTAGTTTTATTGTTTCTTTGGCTTTGCTTCTATCTTTAGTAGGAAATAAAATTGTAATTGGTTAATAATAAAATAAAAATGGGATATTACCTTACGCTGATAAAGAGATTCAGGTTCGACAGTGAAAACTGGAGGTTTTCTGACTAGCACTTCCATCTGACCTGATGAGCCTTGAGTTCCCTGCGCGTTATAAGGTGTGCAGGTGTATCTGCCTTGGTGATTTTCATTAACCTACAAGAAGATATGTTTTAATTAAAATCAAAAACATATTTATGAGAATATAAAAACAGTAAAGAAAACATTATAATCAAATCACCCTTGTGAAAAGAAGGGAGCCGTTGTTCATTATGACGATATCTTTAGTTTGGTAAGGTTCAAGTAGGCGCTTGTCTTTGGTCCATGTAACATACTGGAGTGGAGGATTGGCTTTAATGTAACACTGAACAACACCAGCCAATCGAAACGGCAGGTATTGCACAGTTGGAGTGAATGTGACCTTTGCTGGATCTGAAAACAAAAATAGTATTCAATACATTGGCATATGAAACCTTATTAAAATATATAATATTCATGAGAAAAATGAGTTACTTAAAATTTAAAGAAATTAAATAGCAAACCATAAAAGCGATAACTTGAAAATTGAGTTTTACAAGATTTACTGACTAACGTATGCTTACTGATAAAATTTATTTATGGAAACAGGAAAAAAGAAATAATAATATAAAGAACATAGAAACAAAATAAATAAATAAAATAATTGTTTTTATATCTAGATAACGATGAATAGTTCGTATTCATTGAAATTTAATTTATTTTTAGAAATATTCAAGGAGGAAAAAAGGTGGGTTCATAATTTTCTGGCATATCTCAGCAAAATAGAAATTAAATAAACTATGAAATATATGAATATCATTAACAAGAGTTATAACAGTTAACACTGAAGGGAAAAAAATACTTAAATAACTATTCCAAATATTAAAAAAAAAAAGAAAAAAAAAAAATTGCTAGGGAACTTAGGAACATAATATATCTACAGAAATTAAGTTTTAAAGTGCTACTTACATTCAACACTAAGATATGCTGAAGCCGACTGAGGATCACCTATTCCGTTGCTGACTTGACAGGTGTACATTCCGGTGTCTTCAGCAGCGACTGGATTAATGACGAGGGAACCATCTCTTCTGACGGTGACTCTTGTTTCCAACGATGCTACTTGTTTCACTGGAGTGCCCTCCTTCCACCAGCGAACGGTTACGTTTCCAGGAAGAGCCTTAGCTTCACAGGAAAATTGAACTTTTTTACCTTCTAGAGTCGTTTGGTTTGTCGGTGGAACCATAATAACTGCACCTCCTAAAATGTTTCGAAAGTAGCAATCATAATTGGGATTCATATTAAAATTAATATCAAATACCTCTAAGTAAAATGAAAAATGTCGGAAGTTTGTTTGTTTGCTTGTTGGGGTTTTAAGGCGTAAAACATCCAGGTCATCAAATTAATTTTTTAAAATCTGGATTAAATTTTTAAGAGATTTTAAATTTTTTTAAATCAAATCTTTTGATTTCAAAAAACCTAACACTGACTTTGTGTCTTCATTATCCCTCAAAATGTTTGCTATTGGAGGTGTAACTTCTGAACTATTCACACTCGATACTTAAAAAGGACAGACTCCTGTAAAATGTGGCTGACTGTAAATGTATTATTGTAGTGTTGGCATTGTGGTGGTGGCTGTTTGCTAATGAGGTGTGAATGGATAAGATTGGTGTGGTCTATTCTCAGTCTGGCCAAGACAACCTCCTATCTGCGGATATAACGATTTGATATTGACTATGGCTTTATTGTTTTCTCAATATATTTTAATGTCGTTAGTATCCTTAAAGTTTTTTTTTTTATAGATTATCCCTTAATAAAGTGAGAACTTTTAGTTACAATCTTTAATAATACTAGTATTTTCTGTTTTGAGTTGTGTTTTTATTTCTCAGGTTTTACTTAAATATATTCTATTTGGATTAGTAAATATATTGTTATTTTAACTTTAAAAGCCCTAAAATGTTAATAAAGGCTGTTCCGATTGGTAAAAGTCTGAGGGGTAGACCGAGATGTAGGTGGGGAGGGTTCCATTAAGGCTGATAGTGTGGAGTTGAATTTGGAGGGTGGTCAGTAGAAGGAAGGGCTCTTTTCTACTTTCTATTGATAAAAAAGCAAACCAGTGAATTATTTAAGTGTTATTGCATTTAGATTAAAATATTTCAAAAACGAATTAACATTTAAATTTGTATTTATATACTCTGTTTCTAGAGTTTTTTTATTTACAATACTACAGCTCGTCAATAGATATATAACAAAAAAAGAAAATTGGTTGAGAAATTCAGGAGAAAAAGGGACTGAACTGTTTTGTCTTCGTGTATTTATATAATGATTATTTAGTTGTATAAAACTCATATTTCATATGATATAATACATAAAGTGTAAATTAAATACCTGCAATGACAACTCTTGCCGTATGACTAATCTGACCTTCTCCATTCTTAGCAATACACGTATAGTCTCCTATATCTTCTTGCCTGATACTTGAAATACGAAGTTCTGTCCCATCATTAAAAATGCCAATCGTCGCTGCTGGTTCGACTGGATTGGCATCTTTATACCAACTTATTTCGGGAACTGGAGTCCCTTCAGCTTGACAGTTTAGAATTATTGCATCTCCAGTATTTACATAAATGACTTCTTCTGGAGTGACGCTGAATCTTGGAGGTGCTAAAATAAATTTATAAAAATTATTAAAAAAAGCATTAGGAATAACTATCAATACATATCTAACAATTTAAAATGATTAATTGACAAAATTTTAAATTTTGATGAGAAAATTCCATGAAATTTAAAGCTCGAATCATAGTAATAATATTGACTGTTTTTTTGTTTTTTTAAGGTTTAAAATTTACTAAGCAAACTTCATAGGAAACACAAATTTTTTAAAAACTTTATTACTTATTTTGTATTCTTGCAAGTGTGATTTTTTCTTCTTCAATTTTTGGCATAAATCACTGTGACCCTTACGCCATGTATACCATTCGTTTTATTTCTAAAACTTTAGTTTATTCACTTCCGCGTATCTTAATAGGCTTATCAGGTTAATGTACTCATAGCTACTGGGGCAATCCATTTGAATCCTCCCCAAAGAACTGTAGTCCAAGCCTTGCGGTTTGATAGGTTTTATCACATTGACATAGCTATGTGAAAGACTGTTTGATTCTCCTCCCGACAGAATCTACAGAGAGGATGTGATATTATAATTAATTGTGAAAATGGGTACTATAGATTTATGTATATATTTTATTTTAAATTTTTATTCTGTATTAAATACAGTTCATCAAGATGACAAAACTTTTATAGTTATGTATAAGTTATACATAAATTGAAACCTAATTTTATTTTAATAAAATTCGATTGGTTAAACCACCGGTTAAAAAAATCATCATACAAGTTACTAAAACTTGCGGAGACGCATTCGAACTACTAGGCTTCTCTAGCTTTGGGATCTTCGCTTTGGACTCATCAGCCTTGTCTACCTGAATTGGTTTGTGCTAGAAGCAATAGCTTTGTCAAATGGAGGAACAATTCTGGTACGACAAAGAACAGCTTAATTCAAGGCTGTTCCTTGATGGCTCCTGTAGAAGAAGTAATATTCTACTCAGTGCAGAGTATCTTTAAACAAAATTACAGTGATCGTATGGTCGAATCACTTGGTGGTGGGATAGGTTCGCCAGATATAGTTTCATACTATTTGTGGTGAAGTGTGATTGATTCGAAGGACTTGTCAATCCAACAAGTATCTTACAGTTTGGTACTAAAATTTTTTTGAAGAAAACAGCTGATAATTTAAAGCAAATAATTGGCTTGGTTAGCCTGTAGTATATTATGCTAGATAAAAAAAAAGGTACACGGATGATATCTGCCTAATAGCTAGGAATATGGCCGAATTCGAGGAGTCTTTTTCTATATTTAATAGCAAAAGCCTGAAAATTTTTCTTAATATTGATCAGAAGAAGATCAACTATATGAATAGCAGACCAGATCAGAAAAATGGTCCTGTAACTTTCAACGGTTTCGAACTTTGAGAGTGTAAGCAGTTTCATTTATCTCGGGTCCAAACTAAATAATGAAAACAATATATTAAATGGAGGAAATAGAAGAACATGGCTGCTAATCGGGCTTACTATACCAAGGTGAGATTTTTGAACTCTTTGTTTCTGTCGTGGACCAATAAAGCAAGGCTATGTAAAACAATGATAAGGTCCATTTTAATGCTTAGCACCAAAACCAGTATACTCACCACTGTGATGATGAAAAGCATGAATGTGTTTGAGTGAAAGATTCTTAGAAGAATTTATGGAGCAGTTTTCAATCCAACTTTAAAGACTCACTATACCGAGATACAAACATAGTACAGTTTATCAAGACTCACTTTATTGAATGGTTAGACCATCTAAAACAGATGTCAGGTGACAGGAATTCATGCAGATTGTATGGTTGTTGGATTCATGACATTGAATCCAACAACTGGTACAATATTCCAAGAACTGGGAAAAGTGAGGTGGAAAGAGAGACTGAGAGAAATGGAGATAGATTAGTCAGAGAAGCTAAGGCCCACTTTGGGCTGTAGAGCTATCCAGTAAGTAAGTATTAATAAAGTATAAGACATCCGTTGGTTTCCTTGCTAGAGAACTTCAAAGTATTTTTATAAATAATAACAAAAGTAATACATAATCTCTTACCATGTACATCTAAATGAAACCAAGTCCCATTTTTGTGCGAGTTCGGTGATCGGTTAAGGAAGACAACTTTGCACTCGTACCATCCTTGGTCCGATTCCTTGATGTTAGTAAGGTTGAGAGATGCAAGTCCGTATGGAGAATCCGGAGAAACTCTGGACACTCTTCCCTCGTATCCCTCGCCGGAGTGAGTTGGGTAACTGTCGTACCATATATAGATCGGGATTTCCTCACCCTGGGCCACAAAATCTCGTAATAATTAATTATGTAACTTTATATGTGTTTACTCTTCCGGCTTTAAACTCAAAGAAAAAAAAAAAAGAAAACTAACATCTAATCATGCTAAAAAAAATTGATGGCTTCCAAAAATTACTACAAACAAAAAAGAAAATGAAACTTTTAAAATCAAATTTAGCTTTGAAAAATAATTTAAAATAAATTTGGAAATTTTGCCATAGATACATTTTATTTGCCTGAAGCAGATTTTAGGGAAGAAATAGTACTTGAACTTTATTCAACAAAAGCCATTCGTATTCTGAACAAAATAGGAATAAATTTGAGATAAAGTAAACATATTAAATAAGCCATAGAGAAAACTATTCAAAACTGGTGAAATTAAGAATGCAATTTATAGATGAATATTTCTTTTGACAATTCTTTTATTTTTACTTATTTTTTTAATTATAAGGATGATAAATAGTCGGGATTTTCAATCTAGCTTTATTTTATTAAGTTTTGTCAATGTTTTGACCCAAGTATGTGGATCATCAACAGAACTAAAAATTAAAAATTCCAGCAGAAATATAAGACATTGAGAGAAGTACATGAATAAGCCTTGAGAAAAAAAGATAAATAATACAAGATAATTGTAATATAAACATAGTAGTTATGTAAACATAATAGTACATCAAGGAAAAAAAAAAAATGTAAATATTATTACAAATAATAAATAAGAATCAGGCATAAAACGAATAGTACTAAGAATAAATAAAGTGAATTTTTAAGTTATTATATAGTGAGATTTATTAAAAATAAATAAATATGAATAAGTATAAGAAGCAACAGATGGAAACATACAAAGGCAAGTAAAGAATAAAAAGAAATTTGGATCTCCCTCCAAATCATGTGTATTACAGCATTGATTGTTCGGCTATAACTCGAAACATCTATCAGATGTTCATTGAAAGTATTGTTTCATTGTTAGCTACTTATGATTGTGTTTCACTGTCTGTTAAAAATGAGTTCTCCTTCTTCTGATTGCATCAAGGATGAAATGCGAGCAGTGATAAGTTTCCTCAATCCAGGAACAGTGAAATCAGCAGAAATTATTGTTCGAATGCAGGAGCAATATGAAGAGAGTTGTTTGATAGAAGCAAGATCTATAAATAGATCGATCTATTTATTAAAAATTTAAGGATTTCTTTATGTGATGAACAGTGGCCTGGTAGGCCTTCTACATCAAAGACTAATGACAGTATTGAAGCAGTTACACAAATGATTCTCAATAATCAACGAATTACAGGTGATGACATTGCAAGTTAGTTGAATATAAGCCATGGTTGAGCATATTCAAAATACGTCATTTGGCTTCAGGATAATGCTTGTTCTCATACAGCCAAAAACACAGTCCTGTGCCTTACAAATCTCAGTTTTCAGCGGGTGGACCATAGGCTGCTTTATAGTCTAGACTTGGCTCCAAGTGATTATCATCTTTTTTGCAGAATAAAAGAGGAGTTGGCTAGGAATCATTATCGATCGAGACATTGTTCATCGAGCCAAAAACCTTGTTCCAGGAATGCTCATTAGAAGATGGACTAAGAGCATAGAAGTAGAAAAGTAATACTAGTATCAATTATCTATGTACAATAAGTATACAGATTTTTTTAATATACCTTCATATTATAAATAAATAAACAGTAACTAATATAAATAGTTAAACAATTAACAATGGTTTGTATTGGCAAAACTGAATCAAACAAAGATAGACTGAATATCCTGACTATCTATCAGACTAATAAAAATCCAATCGGATAAAATATTTTAATTTATTTTATCAACAATTAAATGACTACCAACTGAAACATTAAGAGAATATATATTAAGGAAAAAAAGTACAAGCCATGAAAATAAATAAAGAGTTAAATATATCAGACATGAAAATAAATAGGATTCAATTATATAAAAAAATTAACGATAATAAAATATTAACGAATTGCTAAATTTAATGTAGAATAGTCTTCTCTGAAGGCTTCATGCATTTATGGAATATATTAATATAAAACAAAATAGGCAAGGCTACAAGCAATAATAATAGCAAAAATATAACTAATGATAAAAAAATAAATTAATTGAAAATTTCGAGATATTTTTTATGGATAGTATTTCAATGTTGTGGTGTTGTAAAGGTGTTTAAGTGTTAAGATTGTCTTTAATTGATTGTATCTCTCTCCATTTTCCTTTGAAAAATATTTTTGACGATAAAAGTATAATATACAACACACCACTTATTTTATTTCCATGAAACATATTAATAAAAATGAAAAATAAAAGTAAAACATAATCATTCATAAAATTATTTAAGTTTTAATCTTTGCAATTTTGTTTAAATCAAATTTTGAAAATATAAAACATAAATTTCATATTCGAACCAAACTTTGGCAAAAAAAAAAAATAAAATAAAATAAACTCTAGCATAGAGCTGATTGATAGTTTAATTATCAAGATAGTTTTTCTATTAGAAATTTTATCAAGCATGCATTGGATCGCTTAATAGCATAGTTTTCAAAAATTGTCATGCTAGAACTTTATCTACAGTACATAAAATATTTTTTATTTATTTATTACTTAATGTTTATTGATTTATTAATTGTTTTGTATATTTAATAATAATGTTAAAAATATTATTGTTATAGTATTATATTTTCAAATATTATTTTATTATTGTTAGGATATTTTTAAGTTATCGCTTAAGCTACATGTAGTTTCACATTATAAATTATTATTCTGAGTTCCGTCAATACTCTGATCTACATTAAGCTCCCATCTACAAAAAATAATTAGATAATTTAGATATATTAAAATATGGGCTTCCATAAACGTTGTGGGTTCGATTCCCTCTAGAGTCAGTAAATATTCATTGGAGGCCCTAAGAAATGAATTTTGATACTTCCACAGCAACATTTCGGTAGCTGTCTGAGGTTGGAAAAAAGGACCACTAGGATTGCTGACCAGGCTAGTCCACCCCACCAGCACCAATTACAGATATAGTTTACCTAATCTTTTAATATTTAACCATAGGTTCACACTTTTTATCTTTTTAGTCATTTGTTTATAATGAAAAATTGTTTTTGGGTACTTAAATGATATATATATTTCTTCCCGATGACAATTCCTTCATGGTGTTTTTCTTTTCCAAGTCTTCAGAACCAAAACCCTCCCTAAATCCTGGAACTCCTTACTCTACATTCCTCTATCCACTCTCTTAATTTCAGGTCTCAACCTATAGACTTATATATTTCCTACCATAAAACTTCTTCCTTTAGCAAATCCTTCGTCATTTGTGCTGCTTCCTTTTGGAACTTTCTTCCTACTTCCATACGTCCATCCTCCTCCACAAATTCCTTCAAACAACTCCTGTTCCACCACCTACTCCACATTCAAACTTCCACAAACATGTAAAATTACTTGCATCTGTACACTGTTTAATTTCAATCTACTGCACAATTGCAATAACAATTAACAGTTAAATAGTTTGTATTTTTTATTATTATAAGTCAGACTAGACCCATAAATTTGTAACTCTGTTATTGTTCTTAGGGGACAGTAGTATATATATATATATATACACTGGATAAATTTATATTATTCCAGAATTATACAGGTTACCTTAAACTTAAATTGAGTAAATGCAGTTTTCAATATTTTTTTCTTAAATCACATTCATTGAATTGAAATGGTAAACAGTTAATTCCTTTTCACAAGATGTAATTAAATTAAGAATTGTTATTTTTTTAGTTTTCCTCCAATAAAAAATCAAAATGGTGAATTAAAATCTAAAAGTAGGTTAATCTTAAAAATATAAAGTCCTATTTTAATTTTATATTGCGAACATATTTAATAATAATTTTCTACTTTGAATAATATGTGGAAATAATATATTGTTGTAATATTATATTATAGATGTTTTGTAATAATATAAGATTTATTACAGTTTTTAGGGAGTGCTGAACTCATCTTTGTTTTATACTTCAAATTCATTAATTTATTTTTCTGTTTATAAAATATCCCATACTTATTGCTTATTTCAAGTAATGGTTAAAATAGTCATTTACATTTTGTGATGAGTTAAGTTTTAACAGTTAATTATTTTTTAAGTAGTACCCGAGAAAAATCTTTGTTGAAGTGATTAAAAAACAACTATAATTGATATCAACATAATTGTATATAATGCTTTATTTTCAAAAACCCTAAGATGAAATGAAAAAATAATTTTATTCTAGGACTACTGTCCCCTAAGAATAATGACAGAGTTACAAATTTATGGGTCTTAGTCTGACTTAGAATAATAAAAAATACAAACTAATTATCTGTTAATTGTTATTGCATTTGTGAAGTAGGTTGAAATTAAACAGTGTACAGATGCAAGTAATTTTACATGTTTGCGGAAGTTCGAATGTGGAGTACGTGGTGGAACAGGATCTGTTTGTAGGATTTGTGGACGAGGATTGAAGAAAGTTCCAAAAGGAAGCAGCACAAATGACAAGGGATTTGCTGAAAGAAGAACGTTTTATGGGAGGGGGTATATAAGTCTATAGGTTGAGACCTGAAATTAAGAGAGTGGATAGAGGAATGTAGAGTAAGGAATTCTATGATGTAGGGAGGGTTTTCGGTTCTGAAGACTTGAAAAAGGAAAATACCAAGAAGGAATTTTTGTCGGGAGGTAGAATAAAGCCACTTAAACTCGGTGTACCAGAGTGAAACATGTGAAAGTCTGGGGATCTCGAAGATGTATCTTATGAAACAATTCATGGGTCTCTTCAGTCTCATTTCTAGCCTGACAGATAGCCCTTCATACACCAATAATTTTATCTGCATTCAGCTTTAATTTATTTATTTTTGCCCATCTGTTGACGCAGTCGATATCCTCTTAATGTTGATATCCTCTTAATTTGATATTAAGATGTTGTTCAGCCCTTAATGTAGTCATATAAAAAAAAATCTAGTTAATTTTTTTGG